AATTTCTATTTCACAAAATGATTGCGAGAAGAACTTATTGCACAGAATTAAAAGATAACAATAACAAAAGGATGATAATCTCTGTTGATGACATTTCTCTCAGGTAGCAAGAAACAAATATTTTTTCAAAAACTGCATTGAAAGTAATATGACGATGAAAGAATAAATATTCAAGTATATATATGTCATTGTTAACTGACATGTTGTGAATACTTCTCTTACCCAAAAAATAGTGTATTATTCAACAAGCATATAATAAGGGCTATTATCAACGAAGGTTCAGTTTATGTCACGAGCGTAGCGAGATAAGTTGAAGACCCAGTGATAAAAGTAAAAAATAGTGCGTTATAAAGAAAAAAAAATTAATTCTCGAATCTCTAAGAACTTGAAGCGCAATATTAGGTAGGTTAGCAATGCAATAATAAAGAACTTTCAGTTCTTTTATATCTGCACCGATGAGCTTGAGGAAATAAAAAGAGTTATTTAAATATATCAGAGAAATGATTGTCTGATTTGTATTTCATTCGCGCGTCATCAATATAAAAACATACCTATGATATTTCATTCGCCTTTGAAAATTTCAGCAGATATACAGTAGATAAAACTTAACAGTACTTTTCGTGAAAATATAATTATAGGTGACAATATTATATTAATGATAATGAAAGGCAGACAGACCTAATTCATATTTGTGATAATGACAATTTCATGTCAATAATACTGTATATAACACGATACTAGGACTAGGTAAGGTGGTATATATTAGCAGGTATATGCGCTTAGCTATCGTTTACCTATAAATAACTAGAGGAACCCACATATCTACCCTTTTCACTTAAAATATAGTATAGGTACCTACTTATTCTACTTAATCACTTAATAGGTGATGAACTCTTTGAGAGACATTCTATTGATGGTCATTGGAAAACACAACCTCTATAATAATGAAATAATATATTCTAGGAAGAATTTCAATTTACTTCAAACTAATTATATGGGTATATATAAATAATACACAACTCCTGAGGGATATTTCATATGTAGTTCAAAACTGGTGAAGTGATCGTGAGTGATATTTTGTGGCCATGAAGATTTTCTGAAAGATTTTGTTGGAGATACTCCTGTGGCTATATATTTTTTTAATCACCTACTATAGTTACCTATATTATATTATTTATTGAATCATTACAAAATTATGAATTCCACAAGTACGCCGAAAAAAGTGAGTAAATGAAACATTGAATTATTCAAGCAGAATAAGAAATATTATGTTCCCCTGTATTCATTTCTCTCAGTAGATGGTAACAACGGCATGTTGAGAAACCTCTGAAACTAAAAAAATTGGGAATGGCCATTCGATGAATTTTTGAATATCATGATTATATTCAGATAATTCTATTAAATCTCTTATAATTATGAGTCGTTCTTAAATGTAACTACCCTTATTTTGGAGGTGAATGAAAGATTCATATTTTTATTTTCTGATTTATGTGATATTTAATCAAAGGAGCCATGGAGTGATAAATCAGACTCATAGTACATTTTGAACTCGATTTTCAAAGTCAAATACGAGAGTGATAACGGTGGTATCACTTATTGATACTTGAAGAGGGACGCGACCGATTATGAGGACATTCCAGTTGGATTTCGATGAACAAGAAGTTTTAAGGTCCATTTATTTAGAGACATAAATTATAATCTGCTATAGTTCATATGATTACATTTCTATATTTTTCGAAGGAAAAGAAGAAATAATGTTAAAGGAATGCAGTTTTTGAAAACTGATTTTCTAGATCAAGAACAATCCATTGTCAAGGCGCTTGTATTATTTTCTTGTACAAACAACATCCTGTATAAGATAACCTCAAGTGAACTTTCGAATATGAAAATGGAAGTTTGAAGTGGAACACACTCTGTATATAATCATTTCGAAATTAATACAATTATTTGTAATTTTTGTTCAGTTTTTCGTAATCCGAACATCACAACAATCGAAGATTCGAAGTGAATAGAAAACTAAGCTAACTACTATATTATACAGGGTGATTCATGAGGAGACTCACATAGCCAAATGGTGAATAGGGAAAATCAAGACAAGTTGATGTATAATGCTGAAAAATTATTTTGCCATCCATAACGAAGATACAGGGTATTATGTGAAATTGCCATATATAACTTTGTTGGCCGTTATTTCAGAAATGATTCATTGTAATTTGCTGAAACAAATGGGAATAAAAAAAACAGGTGGCGCACAATCATATATCACCAAAAATATCGATATATACAGGGTGTTTCATGAAAGACTCACATAACGAAATGGTAACTAGGGGAAATCAAGAAGAGTTGATGTATATATATGAAAACATTTTTTGACCCTCCATAACGAAGATACAGGGTATTATGTGAAATTGCTGTATAACTTTTGATGGTCGATATTACAGAAATTATTCGTCGTAATCTGCTGAAATTTGGCAGCGATGTATCTCTACTGAAACTATTCAAGATAAAATATGATGAAAAAAAAATCCAGGTCCCTACTGGAGAAAATTTTTTGTTTCATTATTATGTCAAAAAAGTTCACTTTGTGACCACTTTTCTCGAAAAATTCTATCAGATTCAGAAATATCAGACAAAATGCTATAAGAACTTTGGAATATGAAGTGGCACCTAGAGTGTAAGAATATTTCTATTACCAGTGTTGACCTATCAACAAACGCCACGTTACATACAATAAAAACAGGGCCACTTTATAACAAATTTATAAAATAGAACTACGAGTAATCATATCTATCTAGAAGTTCGGTCAAAAACTAGCATGTCAAATCATTAAAAAACAGAACTAATCTCTTCTGTCAATTAATATTCAATAAAAATGTAGAAAAAATCAATTCACATGATACCATTTGAAAGTTGACAGTTATCAGCCAGGTCGAAATTTAAAATTCATTCGAACGATTTTGTTCCATATTTTATTGAACCGGTCAAAGTGTACCGTGTGAATTGAAGAGCAGTTCTCATAGCGTTTTGTCTGATCTTTCTGAATCTGATGGAATTTTTCGAGAAAAGTGGTCACAAAGTGAACTTTTTTGACATAACAATGATACATAAAATTTTTCCAAGTACGGACCTGGATTTTCATTTCATAATATGTTATCTTGAATAGTTTCAGTAGAGATACGTCCCTGCCAAATTTCAGCAGATTACGACGAATCAATTAATTCTGTAATATCGACCATCAAAGTTATAAAGCAATTTCACATAATAACCTGTATCTTCGTTATGGAAGGTCAAATTTTTTTTTATATATAATACATCAACTCGTCTTGATTTCTCCTATTAACCATTTGACTATGTGAGTCATCTCATGAAACACACCCTGTATAATTTAACCCACTGTTACGCCACTGAAAATGTGAGTACAACAAAAAAAGCTTTGTGTGTAACTATCAACAAAACCAGCAAATTTCATTGAAATTCATAAATAATTATTTGACTACTGAATAATAAAATGATTTTTTATGGAAATATATTAATACCCTGTATCTCAAAAACGAAACAATTGAGTTATAGGATACATATTTATATAACCTTCATTTTTCAAAATATCACAAGGAATCACCCTCTGAAATTTATCGAACTTATTCACTGTATTTTTTAATTCTGATGTTTGAAAATTGAAAGGTGTCTATTTATTTTGAAACTTTTCTTATTGTCGAACGATATGCCAAAATTTTGATCACCATGTATAGATAATTGCAACTAACGATCCATGTCGAACGATATTTTTTTCTACATGGATGCCCACCATGTCTTATTTTTCATATCTCGCCGTGTAGACTAGTTATGGTTGATTTGCAGTTACCACTGCTACTGTTGAAATCCGAATAAAATAGGACAGAGTAAATTGCAATTGAAAAAAAATCAAGAAATGCCCATAACGTTGTTCTTAGATGTTCAACTGTTTTTATAAATTTCTTTCTTCTTTGTTTAGGCACACGAAGAGAAGCGCCTGAAGCTATTTCTGGAAATAATTTTCAATAAAAACAGGATCCAAAATGGTGAGTTGGTATAACGTATTACACCCCAGTAAAATGGAATTCATTGCCTGTGGAAGTATTCCCAACAACATATAATCTCCAAAAGTTCAAAAAAAATTCCAATACCTACCTCCTGTCCCTATCCTCCCTAGGAACGCACGATGTTCTTTGAACATTATAGGGATTCCCTTTCGTGCGCTTCAAGTGATAAAAAAAAATACACATCTCTGGGGTATCACATTCTTGTCTCGCTAGGTAACAATGCGAGTCACAAGAAAACATCGTTGGTATTGCTAGGACACTCTTTATTTAACAAAACATTCGCAATATTCGTCACATTTTATTGTATTTGAGAGAGAAAGTAGGTGAATTTGTGAGGCTTCCTAACAACCAAAAGTCTCACTGAACTGGAACCTCACATCGTTGTCTATTTATGTAACAAACGAAATCAATCAATTTTGATATTGAATGAGGAGTCGCTAAATACGTACTGTTAGTTTGATTTTAGTTCAATCAAATGGTATTTTCACTTGGAAAAAATTCAAGTAGTCGGTTTCTCTGTGGTTTCATATGTTTTTGGAGGTGCTGAATTCGAATAATCTGAATTTTGCAAACAAAATTTCCTGGAGCGTTCCGAGATGTTCGTAAAAAACAAAAATTTTCGGACTTTCTTCGTTTTTTGCCCGTAACTCGAAAATTATACGTTATATCGAAAAGACCGCCCTATAGAATATTGAAGTAGATAAAATTTCCTGAATATAATTGTCATTGCTCATGAATGTAGGACTAAGATAGAGATAGAGCCAGTTGAAAATTGACCATATAAAATGCCGTTTTTCGTCGGTTTTCGCAGATAATTCCAAGTCTACGCATTCCTCGTTATCTAGACCTGTTCTAGGGTAGTCAGCCTTTGGCGGATTGGTACTTTACATGAAAGGCGGTTTCAGAAATATTTAGGAAAAACGGCCTTCAGGGTATTTGAAGGAAACATTATTTGACAAATATTTGAAGAATCTCTTTTTATATAGAAATATCACAGAAATCACCCCACGAATTTGTAACCAATGTTTAGGAAACACACTGTATATTTAATGTAAGTGCGAAGATATGTTAAACTTATCCATGAATGCTTTATTTTCTAGAACCAAGCGTCAGAATGTCAGAACTTCCAGATAAGACTCTCTTCTCTTCCAACGAGTCAATAGAGTCAAAAACCAAGCCTTGTGATGTCTCAGAATCATCTATTGACACTCCAGTAGGATCCAAAAACAATGATATAGAAATAAAAATTAAGCTGGATTTTACTAATTCCAAAAAGAAAGGAAACGTGATACCCAACGAAGGAACTAATGTGATAAAGTCTACATCTCAAAGAGAAGAAAAACCATATTTCGATGATACCTTAAATTCTGTGATTGGAATTTCAGCGAATGAAAATATCAGTTTCAAAAATGAGAATAACGAAGCTTCAAGCAGAAATAATTCACCAAACAAACTATTAGAAAATGTTGGACAAATATCCACCATGAATAGTGACTCATTGAACATCAGCAAGTTCAAACCAATAATACAGCAAAATATTGAAGAAGTAGACGAAACGAATTATTCATACAAAACTTGTGAAAATGGGCAAGTTCGAAGCAATGAGACAACAATATTGACACCTGGAAATACCACAAATATTTTCCACAGTACAATGCTATCTAGCTTTCAATATCTGAATCAACAGGAAAAATTGAAGAGTTCTATGGGAGATTACGATGAAAAAATTTCTGCACTAATTCACTTACTGATAATGGAAAAATATAACAGTATCTTGAAAGATTTCAGGGAAAGAAGCATGAAGAGACAAAAATACTGCACTTCCGAAAAGTCTGAAGATGAGAAGTTTCAACAATTTTTGAATACGCAGTGGGAAAATAAAGAAACTGAAAATACACAATCTGAAAATGATGACCTTGGCTTCAACAGTTCTGGACAGAATTCACCAGAACCGAATTTGATAAACTGTTTCGCACCAAAGAATGATATAGGAAATATTTCACGGGATAATCATGAAGGGGAAAGTTCCGGACAAAATTCTCCAGAACTAAATTTCAATTCATCAGAAATGAGACCTGAAAATGGTAGAAGTTTGGATAGTGGATTGAATGACACGAAAGATTCTCTAGAATCACTCTGTACTTACCCCAAAGCCGAAAATAAACAAGATTCAACGGTCGACTACAATGAAGATCAGTTTTTATCAATGGCTTTGGGAAAAGAAATTGGATGTAGTTCTCCGGAATCACAGGTGAGTCTCAATAAATATTCTATGTGGCATGATGGAGCATTTTCTCAAAATTTCACAAATATTTGATCGTTTTCGAAATCGGAAAAAAAATTGAGGTCGTCCTCAGTTCTATTATTTTTTTCAAAATTGTGTTGATACTTCAGTGTTACCTACCTACCTAAATCAGATATTCCAATTCTGGATTTATTAAAATCTCAATTATTCACTGATTGATGTAATTTCATGGGCGTCACCAGGAAAATTTCCTGGGGGGTCTGAAATTGTGCTTTCAAGCAAATCAATAACTGCATAAATTAGAATCAACCTGTATGAGGTAGCCTAGTCTTGTGGGAAATGCTGTTTAGAATTAATTAACATCATCTATGCCCGAAATACCAGCTATATTAATAAAATATATCAATAAAATCTTGGATACTTAATCGATCAACAAACAAATGATGCGTGGGTGTCCCAAATTGCTTGATTTTGGCAGTTTTCCCTATTTCCAGACCATGTAGAGGAAAACTGACTTAGGGTTCTAGAGCTTGATTTTCGTGAAACGTCGATTGGAGAAAACCGCATTTCGATATCTCAAACCGTTTCCGAGATATAGGCAAAAATTGGCATTTGACTGATTTCGAAAAATTGACATAACTTCTTTATTTTTGGATATTTTTCCAAACGGTGAAAACTTTCTATAGACACTTTATGATGTAGAATAAGATGCATATGTCAAAAAAAATATATCGCTTATCAATTGTCTGATATCATAGCCAACTTCGTTATTTCAAATAGAAACCATAGTTGGCTTTGACTTCATAAAATCGAAAAAAAAATAAGCTTTCCAAAAATATATATGTTAATATATTTCTAGTCATCCTTGCTGTTGATATAACGTATTTATCTTTGAAAATCACAATTTGGTGACATCTCAACTTAGTAAGCCATGGAAAGCAAGAGTTTTTTGTCACATCAATAATTATATTTATGATAATGAAGTGATAAGGATGTTGAAGTTGGAAGTATTTATTGTTTTTATTCATAGCCCCCCCATGTATCATGATGCGAAAATTGAGTATGGATGAAGACTGAGAATGCCCCGAAATTTCAAAATGATTCTAATTGGGGTTATTGAGTAATCTCAATGGTCTTGAAAACACCTACATTAAAATTTGGAGTCGAATCGAATTTGTATTGTTTCCTCAAAAACAAAGATAGGTAAAAAAATTACACAGATGATAAAAAAAATGTTATTTCAATAGTTCAATCTAATAAAAATATGAAACTCAGAAAAACCGGTGGTGTACAATGACATTCACCATGAATATCGATAAATTTACACACTGTGACGCCACTGAAAATATTATTTCGAATCTAATTGCACTAGAAGAAGCTCCATATTACTATATCAACACAACCACAACGTTTTATTGAAATTGATGAGGACAATCCAGAAATGAGTAGAAACAAGATTTTTCATGGAAATATTAGTACCCGGTATCTCGAAAACGAAGCAAGTTATTACATGTTTATATAAACTTTATTTCCTAAAATATCACGAGGAATCATCCCTTGAATTTTTTCGGTGTTATTTAGATACACGGTACCATGTATACACATAGCATTTTTCAATTTCCAGAACGAATTTTCGAATTACTACAGTACCCCAGCAGAATTTAGAACATATGGAACAGAAAAGAGCATAGGCAGCAGCAATATTTCCACCCTGGTATCGAGCAATGAACACAGAAAATCTGATGACATCTACAGTTATTACAGTGCAGTGATAAAACGAGAAAAACGAAGTCCTCGACCTAAGAACATTTCAATATCGAAGCCTATTTTCAATTCCGTTTCGACTAACGATTACGAAAGCTTGGATAATTGGAAGATGAGCTCAAAGGAGGAAATGTTGATGCAAGAAAATGGTATACAACAAGAAATCATCCATCAGGTTTCTAAAGCTCTGACCGTTTGTAGAACAACCCCGGAAATATTCGACAGAGAAACTCTCATTGAGGCTGAAAAAATACTTCTTGTTGCAAGTAAGTTATTAATGAGTAATGACCAATCATTTATTGGTCTCATTGTCAACCTGTTTTTAATTTAATAATGTTGAACTTTCAACAAATGCCATGAATTTAAGATTTTCTGTACTTCACCTGTACCGACTCAACAAATAATCAATTAATTGTATCAATCTAAAATCAGAAAACTAGAGCTGAAAACAGCCAATACAATGTTGATAAAAAAATGTCTTTCAAACCAGAAACTACCCTACGTCAATGTGACTCCTAGAAGTTCTACAGGGTGTTTCAGAATTCAGAAGATTATACCCAGCGAGCACAAACATCCCTGGAATGTTTTGGGATGTTTTGAAAATATTGGCATGAAGATGTTATTTTGTGACGTAATATGCACTGACCAAAGAGGTCTTTGAAGGATATTGAAGTATTGTTTTTGTTCTTCTGTGGCATTTCTTTGTTTGCCTACTGAGAGGTATCCCTGGGATGTTTTGGGATGTTTTAGAAATGTAAGCATGAGGATGTTTTTTTTGAGGAGTAATATGCATTTCCCAAAGAGGTCTTAGAAGGATATTGAAAGTATTGTTTTTGTTCTTTTGTGCCCTTTCTTTGTTTGCCCCACCACAACGTCTCATGCTTACGTCACAATACGATGAATTCTGATTTGTTTTCGATTTTGTTCTTCTTGTTCGCAATTGGCATTCGCGTTTGCAGCGTGTCACGCTTACATCACGTTGCTAACGAACAAAAAGGAATTTGGTGAAGTTTATTGTGTTAGAAGACTTATTTAGTTTGTAATAATGACCATCAGATGCAAGATGTGTTGTTCGGTGCCTCAGTGTAATCAATACATAAAAGTACGAATTCATCAATACATAGCTTCTCCGCAGTTGCAAAATTATGCATTGTGGAGAACATTTCAAAAATTGGGAAACCTATTTCCAATTATATGTCTGTGTGTAGTAAGTACTACTCAGAAACCGATTAAGAAGGTAATTTCATATCAAGTAAATATTTTTATGTTCAATCTATTTTCAATGCATTTTTTCATTCAAGGGAAATGGAATCCTAATGCAAAAGTTCATTTTGACAAAAGGCTTCAGAAAAGTACTTCGAAAATTGTTTTTTTACAGCGATTTAATGTGCGCAAGACGCGTTGAAAATGTTCTGTTGTGTCCATGAAAAGGCTTTAAAAAGAACTAGGGAGAAGGTAGTTTTGTGACATATTAAGGACATCTCGATAATTGCCGCCTGCGGCGGACATTGGCTGTTCTATAATAGTTCTATTCATGTGTGAACAGAACATCGCAGTGGAGGTTCAATGTCTCGAAATCTCGTACTTTTAACATCTCTGAGATGTTTTTGTGCTCGCTGGGTAATACTTATTTAGTTTACAGGAGATAATCAGATCAGATCAGATTCATATATAAAATGATCGATGGTAATATTGATTCCCTAGAAATTGGAAATCCAAGAAGATCAGTTAGAACACAAATCTTTAAAGTTCTTTTCTAACTATGCATACCTATCAACTATGTGAATTAATAAATAACTATATGGGGGTCCTACTAAAAATATTCCTTTTTAGGTTATAAAAAAGATATAATCACGGAGCAACTGAACAAGACACTAATTGGAGACAAAAGCAAAGATTGTGCCACTGCCACAATAAGAATGAGCAACATGAAATTTTCTTATGGCAACCGTATTCATCATAATAACAGACACAAGCATTATTTCCTGTGTATTCTACATTGTGGATCGAAAATTGTCAACAGTAAAATGGTGATGATGAGAGGAAAGGAGATTGTATTCGAGGAATGTTTTCAGTTCGATAACATTTCGCCAGAATTTGAAATCACTGTCAACATTTTCGCTCTCACTGTGAAGAAAATGTCTAAAAAGGTATAGTAATTTTTCCCTGAATGTTCGAATTATTTTGGTATAATTGTGCATTGTAATGATGAAAATGTCAAAAACAATAACAGTTACAGATGTGTACAAATATAAATTTATTATATATAGGGTGTTTCGGATTACAATTGAAACAATTTGTTAGGCGATAGAACGATAAAAATAAAAAGAAGTTTTGGAGATCAGTTTTCGAGATACAGGGTGTTGACATTAGAAATATTATTTGCATTTTCTTAGTATCACTCTGTATAAAGCTTTCATCATGTCGAAATTCAGGGTGGTCAATAATCTCAATTGAGCTCTTTCCTACCTTTAACGAGAGAGAGAAAAGTTCTCCCCTCTTCCATCTTTCTCTTCAATGCTACCAACCTGGCCGCATTGAAATATAGAGAGGTCCGATAAATCTTTCCTTGTCTAATCTCTAGTCTGCTCCACTGAACTATTTTCGATGTTATTCGCGATAGAAAATAACATGTCACTCCACCTGACGGTATAACAACTTGAAACAAATGTGAACCAATGAAAACAAAGTAAACATGCTGCTTTGACAGCTTTCAAGAACTCTGATAGGTAACGTACGCTTATTTTCTAATCGCGAATAATGATATTCTTTCTTTCTGAACTGACATATTTCACTTAGACTGAACTGAATCAGTTAACATGCATTCTAATATAATATCTAATCAAATTCTTTCGAAAGAACTCATAATAACTGATTCAGTTCAGTTATACTGAGATATTTCAGTTAGTTATAATATTAGATTATCAGATTATAATGCTGTGATATATATATATATATCTCATAAATGTCATTCACTGATAACCTTCCAAATTTTTGAAATGGAATCACAGATTATATCATGCTTATTTTGATATCTTTGACTCTATTTTGAATTCAAAAATAGTTCAGTGGCACAAAGAGAGTAGAGACAAGGAAATATATATCGGACCTCTCTACATTCCAATGCGGCCCCGTTGGTAGCATTGAAGAGAAAGATGGAAGAGGAGAAAACTTTCCTCTCTCTCGTTGAGGGTAAAAAAGAGCTTAATTATTTATATCTTGAATGAAACTAAAATACCGGGTGACACAGACTCATTGTATGCCCCCCTTTCCTTCTTTGTTTTTTTAGCTATATTTCTGAATGTTCCCTAGAGGGTGCTTTCTCACATTTCAGAATTTTTTCGCACCTTCCGGTTTTCCTGGAGATGACATCAACTTTCGATTTCCAAATGGAACATCCTGTATTTTATTCCATAATCGGTTAGACATTATAACGAATTCAACAATACCGAGTTTGATTGGGTTATTTCAAACAATTACGAAGATATTCGCGTTCGAAGTTTCCATAAGCTCAATGAGTGTGACAGAGATAGAAGTTTCGATATTGCGCAGTCACACCCATTGAGCTTATGGAAACTTTGAAGGTGATTATCTTCATAATCATCTGAAATAACGCATTCAAACCTGGTATTGTTGAATTCGTTATAATAATCTATAACCGATTATAGAATAAAATACAGGGTGTTCCATATAAACGGCAGGATAAGTTCGTTACTGTGCAACGATCCAAGTAATTTGAATGAAATTGGTGATCAAAATTGACACTGACATTGGGTTGAATACAAAATGATGAAGTTTTCAATGAAAAAAATAACACAAAATTGATTTTTTATACAAACGTCAAAAAATGACAAGGTTCGCGCATCGGTAACAGCGAAGTGACACTTTTTTTAGTTTCCTACGTTACCATGATACCTTGCACACAACAATGCGCGAAGTAAAACAGTGCGCGAAGTACCTACTTCGCGCATTGTTATGTAAAATATATGAGATATTTATATTTCAACTTTATGGTCCTCAATCGAGCATCCACGAAATCATTTATTTCTGAATGTTCAGCGATAACTTTGTTTTATCTCTTGGAGCGCACGAAAGGAAATTCCTATTATGTTCGTGGAACATCGTGGAAGGAAGGATAGGGGGATGCCTTTTAAGCCAGTTCAACACTATTTTTTATATCAAGCTAAGCATATTTCAACTTTAGAACTATATTTTTTGACGTTTGTAGAAAAAATGTTGTTTTTCTACAGACGTCAAAAAATGACAAGGTTCGCACATTGACAACAAATTGCGAAGTGACATTTTTTTTCAGTTTCCTACGTTACCATGATACCTTGCACAAAACAATGCGCGAAGTAAAACAGTGCGCGAAGTACCTACTTCGCGCATTGTTATCTAAAATATATGAGATATTTATATTTCAACTGTATGGTTCTCAATCGAGCAAACATACACGAAATCATTCATTTCTGAATGTTCAACAATAACTTTGTTCAATCTCTTGGAGCGCACGAAAGGAAATTCCTATTATGTTCGTGGAACATCGTGCGTACCTAGGGAGGCTAGGGGGAGGCCTTTGAAGCCAGTTCAACACTATTTTTTGTATCAAGTTGAGCATATTTTTACTTTAGAACTATATTTTTTGACGTTTGTAGAAAAAATGTTGTTTGCAACTCGAGCGCGAAATACTTTGGTCATCTCGACTATTTTTTAACTCGGCTACGCCTCGTTAAAAAAATCAGATCTCGATCACCAAAGTAGCATTTCGCGCTCTAGATACAAAAATAACTATTGCAGGTCGAGCGCGAAATGCTTTGGTCATCTCGTCTATTTTTTTAACTCGGCTACGCCTCGTTAAAAAATCAGATCTCGATCACCAAAGTAGCATTTCGCGCTCTAGATACAAAAATAACTATTATAACATTTGGAGAAAAAAAATTATTGACCTTGGCTGAAACATGCTGAAAATGTCAGCCACAGCAGTCAATCTATTACTACCTTGCTGCCTAGTAAAACAAATAACTATTTTCAAAAAACTTCAACTTCTTTCACCTCGAAAACAAAGCTAATAAAAGTCTTCATGAACTTTTCATTTCTAACCGTACTCTATCGAATATCAAATTATCCCGATTACATGTTCCAGAAGCAAATCTCATTCAAACCAAATAATAAAATTTTGAACTTCAATGCTTGTGCATAACTTATCCTTATTTTTCAAATATTGACATTATGAAACTATATATTTGCAGGCAAAAGAAAATAAAAGCTGCTTTGGAAGAAAAAATAAACCATCAACGTTTGAATCAATGCAGTCTTCATTTGTTTTATGGGGCAAAAGTACGCTAAAACCAACAGATGTCTCACGAGAAACACCAACCTCACTGAAACTTTCAAATATGCCAGTGGGAGCGGAAATATCCAGTTGTTTTGCAGCTGATATACAACTATCACTGAAAGTCCTCGTTTCCGAAAAAGGGTTCCTCACTATTGGAACTGACTACAAAGGTTGCCCAGTCTGGAACAGAAAATGGTGTGTTCTAGATGGTTCTCGTATCAAATACTGGAACTACCCAAGCCAAGAGAATGTTATGGAACCACAGGGACAACTGGACTTACTACAGTGCACCACGAATCAACTGAAACATGTGGATAGGGAAGTATGTCCAAGGCCGAAAACATTAGCATTAAAAATAGAAGAGGATGGTTCCACTGTTAAAGAATTATTCTTATCGGCTGACAGTCAGACAGAACTGGAACAGTGGCAGAAGCAACTGAACTTAGTTTTAGAATACCTTAGGAAATGGAAAAATATTAATTGTTACTTAGAAAACTGAGTGTAAAATGTATATAGGTAATGGATTTATAGAATAATGTATATAGGTAGTGATATTGTATTTTTATAAATAATTTTACTTTGATACAGGCGATTTATTTCATACCTACACATAACATCACCTATTTTTGATGTTACAAAACTCCTGCTGAATATTTAGGATTTTAACAGAATTTTTTTATATATACAAAAATATACATATAATTATACATACCTAATGATGATGGGTAATTTGTTGAATTGGCTCGGCCGTTACTTGATGAAAATCCATAGCATATGCAAAAACTTTACAAACGATGAGATTTCCCCAAAATTCATGTTTTGCATTCATGAACAAGATGAATTTTTTGAAAAAGAAAACAAATTCAATCAACGTACGCCAACCATATACCGGCTGACAGAGGAGACATGTAGCAGCCTGTAGTTTTTTTTATTTGAAAAGATAAAAATTTTGAAATTCACAGGGGTATATAATAAATGATAAATGGTAGCGCACTTTACGAACTTAACGACAATATTTTCAACCACCTGTTCGACCGGAAGTGACCCCAACTTTTTTTTTTAATGTCACCCTCTACATTCCTTCAGTCTATCTTTTTCGCCTTGAAATTCTCTATCCAACCATGTATCACAAAGTGGCATTTATTCCTTAATTCGCTGTTGAATTGCTGTTTATTCAAAAAGAATAAGTTGGCTGTGACATGAATTCGATGATATATCGACACCTGGCTTTGAAATTTAAAGATCATTAGTAAACCGATATTATTCAAAATCTTTTGATATTCTGATCAATGTCTGCAGGTTGTTAATAGCTTGCTTGAGTCAAGATGAAAACCTTCGAAAATAACTCATGATATTGAGGAATCTCCCAGGTAGCCGTGCGGACAGAGTGTCTATATTCTAATTCGCATTCGCTTGACGGTCGTGGGTTCGATCCCCGTCGACTGCAGAAGTTTTTCTGATGGCCCAAGAAAGTGTTTGGGATCACACGTTAAAAGGTAAGGCCCCCGTCATTCCTTGCTCGCACAAGACTTTCGAAGACTTTTGAGGGTTGCTCGTAAGGGGGCAACCGAATGACGGATAGAAGAAATTTTAGAACAAAATCTAGGATAGGAACATATTTTTTCGAATTCAGCTACTCCTACAGAAACTATCTGTCTTTTATTTTCGCCATGTACCTATCACATGATCTTCCCATTTGGAATAATAAAACTAAAATTGTTCCTCTTATACGATGATAAACAGGGCTATCAGCCTACCGATTGCATCAATAATTTGTCTTCTTCGTTTGTGAAGTTTGTGCAAATGATGGGTAAACTTGGGAGGGGTATTATTTTTATCATTCAATGGTCACATATAATGTCAATCTCATAAGTATATGAAGATAATTTTAAGAAAATAAGTCTATATTATAAACTTTTCTCCGGAAATGCTTCATTTCAAAGATACAGGGTGTTGAAATACAGAGAACAAATCATTTATCCATAAGCATTTCCTAGGAAAAAAGTAGTTTATTTTGACGAGACCTACCACATACTAAGTAACATGGATCAATAAAGAAAATTGTAAATATCCCCAAAAACTCAACTCCAGCATTGTTACTTGGAAAAGATGTGGGAATAAGGTTTTTCCATGACAAGTACCAAAAGTATACTGTCAAAAATGTTAGGGTAATTTGAAATAAAGAATGACAGCGCATGCAGCGCCCTCTAGATGTTATGATATGATTTCTTATGTCAAAAAAACCCGGGTGCTAAACTTCCTGCACATCACTTATATTTTGCAAGTTATTTTCAAAACAATAAGAAGCATTTCTGGACCTGAATATTTAAACTGAATATTCAAACATACTTATATGTTGCACCCTTTATAGGAGGGAATGGAAATACTTCTGAAAAAATAGGTACTCAGGGTACTCTGAAAATAGAACATGGCTCACTTCAGTGAATTGTCCCAAGATCCCAGGACATTCTTTTTCAAATAATTCAAGATAGGTACCTATTGAAAAAAAACAAGTGACCTTACAAGCAGAATGATTGGAGAAATGGAAAGCTGATAAATACATTTCAATGGGAAATTGAAATCTGATGGTACTAGTATAAATAGGGTAGCCCAGTTTTAGTGCCCATGGGCCTTTATAGATGCCAATTCAAGCTACTAATGGAATTAGGCTTATTCAGTTGAGGTTTAATGTGCTTGAGAAAAAATGATGAAAACAGTTAAACAAGAATCTAGATATACCTAGGTATACTCAATAATAATTATTAGAAACAATGAGTTTAAAAATTCAAAGAACCAATACAGGCAATTTAATAAACAGGGTTTTGGCTCAATCACTTTGTAGCATAATTCCCAATAGAAAAATTCTCAACTGCCTCAGAATTCAGCTAGGGATTATTGATGTGCCAGATTAATTTTTACCTAAAAGCTATCATGTCCTTTGAACTTGAATGTGAAATTTACATGAGGGCATATTCTGTACTTCTGCAGTCACTAAACAGAAAATGTTCAAGTTTGCTAAACACCCCCTTATTATTCCACAAGTGAATGAGACATATCTAGGTGCTGCTTCCAAATATTGTTTTCCATTAGATATCTTGGTTAAAAACCTGAATGCATTGTCTTGCAATACATAAATTCCTTGGTGGTTTGTTCTAAGATTGTCAATTTGTTTTTTGTACACTGCAGACCAGAAGTCAGTACAGATGAATTTCATTGTATCAAGTTCATCTTTGAACCGAGGCATTTCTTTGGTTAATCTGAAATCAATGAAATCAATGGTACAAATTAATATTCAGTCTTATTAATAATTCACCTTTCAATCAGCCTATATCCAGTTGAAAATCCTATGTATTCAATAGTGGACAAATCTTCATCCTAAAAATCCACCAATTATTATCAAATATAATGACCCTTTTATTTGTATCAGCATACTTTTCCATCTTTATTTCTCGATTCACCATTCTGTAAAACGTAATTAATGATTTCGCTATGAAGAACTTCAAATAACGTTTCTTCTGCCATTATTATTATTATTATTATTTTTATTTCACTAATTCTAACCTCAAACTCCCCAAGTCCTCAAACGGCTCCAACTTCACCTTTGGGTTGGGTTTGTTCCACGATGTTTGTTCGTATGTTCACAGATCACAGAATAGTTGGTTAGTTAGCATCGATCCGTGTAGTTCCTAGTTCCGTGTGGTACCTTCAAGAAACATGCCCAAGTCAAGTTAAATTAATCATTCCAGAATTACGTCATTTCACAGGTTGCTGAGGGGCAAACATTGTATTTTGTCAAGATCTGTCAAATAAAACCAGAATTAGTGGGATCGTTTTCCTTGGAATCCGAGTAAGAACCAGAAAGAATTTCATAATTTTGTTTGATGAAACTGTTATAATATTGTGGATGTGGCTGGGACGGCCAGGGCAATGCTCATCAAAGGTAACCTAACAGATAGTTTGTGTGCCCCTCAAGAAACCATGTCAAAATCACGTGTTCTAGAATGATCAATAGCCTTGCCGGCTACCGTTGAATATTCGCGGTCGCCAAGGTCATTAGTTGGCATCAAGAAAAAGTCCCTTTCTTAAACAGCTGATTTTGACAGACGTGACAAGCGACAGTGTTATTTGAGGTGCGTGAAGGTGTGAAAAATCTCATTTTCAAATAAAAATGAGTTCGTCAGATATTGCCGGGCCGATAACGAATACTTGTGTAGTTTGTGGAGTTGATAAAAATCTTTCCCGTTGTGCTCGTTGTAGGATAACTTATTATTGCTGTAGGGACCACCAGAAACAGGACTGGAAAAAACATAAAGTGACATGTAAAAAACAGGACTCTGCTGATAGTGTTGAAAAAAAATATGGTCACATTGTGAGCAGTCAAGAATGTAGTACTTTATTACCAAGTGAAGGCAGCTCGGAAAACGAAATCCTGAGTTCTCTTGGAGAACAACTTGCCCCAAACAATAACTATGAAATATCGTCAACAGAGAAGTCTTTGAAATCACTTGATACCACCATGCCTATCAGTGGGAAAAATATTGTACAATCAAAACATAAAACTCTCAAAGACTTTCCTGAAATAAGTCTCAATTCTAGTTCTGCATCTCTTCACCATAACATACAAGATGACTATTTAGAGGAAATGAGCAGAAACGTTGTACAGGACTTGAGTGCATATGGACTATGTGTAATAGATAACTTCTTAGGTGCTGAAAGAGGAAAAACTGTCCTAGCAGAAGTGTTGAAAATGGAGTCTCAAGGTGTGTTTTGTGATGGACAATTAGTTTCCTCAAAAGGCAACAAAGAGGATCTAAAGACTATTAGAAGTGACCAAATCTGTTGGGTACATGGTAAAGAGACAAACTTTCCTAATATTGGTTATCTGGTTAGTCAAGTTGATGCTGTTATCATGAAAGCCAATAAATTGTCAACCAATAGTCAGCTAGGGCAGTACAATATAAATGGAAGAACCAAGGTGAGAACTTGAAACTTTGCCAGTTTATAAAAGTGCCAGAGTTAATGGTTTAGTCACATTTCTCATATTATTGGTTATTCACCTTGTTTTTCCTGACTCAACTGCTAAGCTAGCAAAACAGGGATTGGAATGGCTATAGGTCCAGATAGGCAAGGCTGTAGGGGGCCATATAGGTATGCTAGTTTTACTAATGACACTCTAATCTAGCTTCAGCCCTTATTCTACCAATTCAAGAGAAATGAAATTCCAATGTGGTTTTACTTTATGCTGGTTTTTTTTGTAGAGTAGCATTATCTTCAAATATTCTATAATAATAATAATAAACCATCTGCTCAAGTCATTCCATAACTTGAGGTTTTTCTACTTGTTCAAATATTCTACATCATTTTCTCTGAATATTTTCCATAAAACAGGCCACAGCCTTTGGGGTTATCTGCCAAAATTTTGGGATTTTTTACTTTGACATTAACCTCACCTTCTAGTAATGCCACGAGTAATGCCAAAATGATGAGACATGGGTGAACTGAGACTGTTAGCCCTCATTATCCATTAAAATTCAGTAGAAGTATAAAACAAGTATAAAACTACCTAATTCCAATTTGAAATCAATTTTGGAGCACATTTTAGTAAATTAATAATATATATATCTTCGTTTCCAAATCAGTTATGTACAGGGTGATTCAAACTTTTTGCCTCTGGCAATGGAGAATTGATAATGCAAATTTGGCAGAGGGGATTTGAATAGTTGTGTGTGAGCTTTGAGTATTCCATAATCAAGGGAGTAAGATATATTTTTTCATGTTCAAAAATTTGTTAACCCTTCTTAAAATGGCGGAAATGACCTCATATAAAATATTTTTTCCACAAAAAGTTACCACCCTTTCTCCATATTCTGAAAGTTATCCTCTATGTTTATTTGGCTAAAAGCTATAAGACTCTAAAGATGGTATTTTTAAATAAATCTCAACCGACCCTGCTGTAATAAAAATCAAGTCAGCTGGGTTTTAGTTATATAATCCGTTTCAATAGGTCACGTGCACGATGACACTGACGATGACCGACCCTGGAGGTAAAACAATAAACACAACCTCACTTTTCTTATCTGTTTGTGTTTACAAAGGATTGAATTAGTTTTTCACAGATCTTGCATGCAACCCATATCAATGTAAAATATTGCAAAATGTAACCCTATTCATTTACTATACAAAACAATTTGTTTCACTGCCGACTTCATTTTTATTATGGTGGGGTCAGTTGTCAATTGAGATCATTGAGATTAACTTATTACTCCTATTAGAAAAAATGCTTTTAGTCCCATAGCCATCAACCAAATATGTTCTTTCATAATATATTATAAAATTATTATAACTTTGTGTGGGAAACATAATCTCTCTGACGCCATTTCCACGTTTCCAGGAGTTTATAAAATCTGTTTGGTGTTTGTCAAGGTGTTTGTGGTAAAAGAGTGTCATGTGATTTTCATGCTGTTAGCAATCAGTTTGGTCATCAGCAATAAAAATCACATCAACCTGAGTTGCTACTTACCTATACCTTGTGAATCTCCTCAACTCATTAATAGCAAAGGCATCATATATAATGTATTATCGTGTATTATGTAATTTATTTACTTATTCTAATGGACAAATACATTAAACAGATAGTAGGTAAGTATTATACCAGTATTATACAGACAATTGAAAAAAAAATGGTAGTTACCTAAAAAATGGTATATAGCTCGGTGGGTATATATAGGTAGGCTCGGGTAGGCTCAGGTATTATGTAGACGAAAAATCGAATTTAGTTATGGTCGGATCGAACAATCAAAAAAATGTTTAAACTTGTTATTTCTGCATGTGTCATGTTTCAACCATATACCGAGGACTATATCTATATGTTTCAACTTTCAACTGCAGTTACATGACTGTTTCAACCATCCTACTTTGATGTGTAGATTTGCCTCCCAAAAATGCCAAAATAATAATGTGATTATAAGCAGCTGCTACTGTTTGTTTGCATAAATACGGAAACAAGAGAGGAACTCCATAAAAGTGATAAAATCGAGGATAAAATATGTGTACGTGACTGTCGGCATGCTGCAAATTCTTGCCGTCCTATCCTCAATGAATAATTACAAAAACTTGCAAGATAAACACATTTTAACACATTTTCAATGATTCATTGAATTATTGAGTTTGCTGATATATTTGGCGAGGCACCTACCTACCTACAAAAATGTTTGTAAACATTATGAAAACAATCAGTCATTTCGCCATGTCTAAATGATCTATTTATTTACTTCGCAAATGATTATCAGATTTGTGGATGAGATATTTATTGTTAAATTGCAAATGATAAGAACTGTTGTGTGAGATTTCTCAACACCTACTTCTCACTATCATCATCGAGGGGTAAATCACGGGCTGAAATTGGGTACACTAGACTTCCTTTATTGAAAGAATTCCCGGAATTCCTGGGACTACCCAAGGAATTCCTAAGAATTCCCAAAGACTACCCGGAATTCCTGGGACTACCTAAAGACTACCCGGAATTCCTGGGACTTCCCAAGGAATTCCTAGGAATTCCCAAAGACTACCCGGAATTCCTGGGACTACCTAAAGACTACCCGGAATTCCTGGGACTTCCCAAGGAATTCCTAGGAATTCCCAAAGACTACCTGGAATTCCTTGGACTACCTGAGGAATTCCCAGAGACTACCCGGACTTCCCAAGGAATTCCGGATTTTCCTAAAGATTTATCATACATCCCAAGGAGTTTTAAAAATTTTGCGTAAAAATAGGTAGATTACGAATGAGTTCCATTCGTGAAATGCAAAAAAAGTCAATCGATAGGTAGGTTGAATTCAAACCCAAGGACGAAACTTGGGCAATGAAAAAACATGTAGGTATTAGTGATAAGTACTCGGATAAGTATCATTAACACTACTGGGTGTTTCTGAATTCAAGTGACAGAAGCCTATACAGGTTTCTTCCTATTTAAATAAAAAATTATTAGGTATACCATTTACAGATTTTGCAAAAGAGTTCCGGTACACATTGAAAAAAAATCTGGTTTTTCATCTCAATGTTATGAACAAAATTCTTTTGCCGATTTGAATGATAATTATTTCAACAGCTCATTGAAGTCTTCTTGAGATATCGTTCGGAACTCTTTAATTTGCCCAGTTATTCAAGAATTGTGTTTACGACAAGTGTTTCACTTTTGTTCACGAAGAATACCACTAGTCGATTTTCCCAATTCATTTCAGATGAAACAGTTGAAAATATAGTGAAACCAAGATGAGGTAATATAGGGATCTCGGGAACAGGAAAAGAAACGGATTCGGTTAAATGGGAAACAAGTTGCGCATTTTGGAAAATTTTCACAATTGTTTTTAGTTTTTCAGTTATACAGGGTGTTCCTTAAGTACGTGTAGAAAATTCAGGAACATGATGCTGACGTCAAAATAAGAAGAAAAGTTCGTATAAATATATGTCCGAACGTTATTCGTTTCTTAGATACAGAGTGTCAAAGTTGAATTCTTATATTTGTTATTTGTTAATAAATTCCAAAATGATTGTGATAATCGAATGAAGTTTGGTATCTAGGGGTATTTTTCAATGACAATATCAAATTTTCTGTTAGTTGGTCTCTTTCGTGGGGTTGGCGCCACCTACATGTCTTTTGAATTTTTGAAAAGTCATAACTTTCCTGTTCGTATATACCTGTTTCACGTTTTATAGTAGGAAAGTAGATTTCTAGGACACTTTTGTGCAAAAAGTATATTCTTGGTAGAGGTCGATGCGAGCAACTGTTTTCGAGATATTGGGATTTGAAACAATCGATGCATTTGAATTATTTCCAATGGGCTCGTAAGTCGACTCTGAGCAGGTAAAAAAGATACGTCAGTGCATTTTTCTTCTTTCATTCAATATTCTCCACCATTCAACAATTCAACATTGGAATGTAGCCAAATGATGATTCTTACTTCTTTGTATCTATTTTTTTGGCCATTTTGAACAATTACTTTGATCAATTCCCTCAACTAACTGTTTTAGTATTTATTTGGTCTTAATTACAGTTATTATTATCAGTATTGTATTATAATTACACCCGATTCCTATTTTAAAATGGAATAAAAAAAAAATAATTTTCCTTACCTACTTGATAAATCAATTTTGAATTCCTACTTCTTTGTCATTCCAAATTACTTGCATTGATTATTTCAAATCTCAATAACTCGAAAACTGTTGCTCGCAGCGACCTTTACCAAGAATATGTTTTTTACACAAACGTGTTCTAGAAAACTATTTTCCTACTATAGAACGTGATACAGGTACGCACAAAAAAGTTGTGACTTTTCAAAAGACTCAAGAGGCTCAAAAGACATGTAGGTGCCGCCACCCTCACGAAGAGATGAACATAAAATTTAATGTTGTCATCGAAAAATACCCCGAAATACCAAAATTCATTTGAATATCACAATTATTTTGAAATTTATTAACAAAAAACAAAAATGAGAATTCAACTTTGACACTCTGTATCTCAGAAACGAATATCTTTCGGACATATACAGGGTAACTCACGGTCGATGGTACGTTAGACGTTTATGGAGAACGGGACATAGGATCATTCTGAAATTCTGGTTACTCACGTAGTTGCTCTTGGTCTATCGTTCTGACAAATTTTCAGCTCTGCGGCGTTGCCGCTTCTATCGAAAAGTAGCAACAACTTTTTTATTTTGAATGGAAAACCCTGTATTTTATTGCATTTTCAGATTCTCTCTGAAGAGCTGATTTCATCGATGCATCACACTTGGGGTCTAGCGGAAATGATTACAGAGGTATAGGGTTTGAAAAATCGTCATTTTTCAACTTCAGGAATTTGTTTTGTCGAAACTATTCATTATTGGTCAAAACGGCTTACATGCCCCGACATATACAGGGTGATTAAGATTCTGAATTCTGCACGACCCTGTATTTGTTTCAATTAAATGTCAGTAG